CTGCCAGCTCAGAGCCTGGAGCCTGTTTCAGTCTACGACTCCCTCTCTCTCTGACCCTCCCCTGCTCACGCTCTCTCTCTCTCTCTCCTAGAAATTAAAAAAAAAAAAAAAAAAAAAAAAATGTTTATTTTTGAGAGAGAGAAAGAGAAACAGAGAGAGAGCGGGGGAGGGGCAGAGAGAGGGAGACACAGAATCCGAAGCAGCTCCAGGCTCCGAGCTGTCAGCACAGAGCCCGACGGGGGCTCGAACCCACGAACCGGGAGATCGTGACCTGAGCTGATGTCACACACTTAACCGACTGAGCCCCCAGGCGCCCTCTGTGTCTCTCTTTCTTAAAGAAGCCCGTCCCCTCCCCCAGGAGGCCGGCTGTGCAGAGGCCGGCCCCGCGCAGCCCACCGGCACAGAGACAGCCTGGGGCACGAACCACCTTCACCCGGAGCGTCAGCGAGCGCCGTGAGTCTGGGGTCTCGTCACAGGTGAGTCTTGACAGGTAGATGAGTAGCTGGTTAACACGGTGACGTGAAAGCCACACGCAGAACAGGAGAGGAGGCACGTCAGCGCGAGTATTTCTGTCCGTTGCGACACCAGCTGATAAGGGCCACTCTGCGCTTTCCTGAATTCCCACCGTACGCCTGCTAAGTTTTTCAAAAGGAGAACAGAACAGACACAGGGGTGTTTGGGGTGAAGAGCTGGAAGGTCCGTGGCCTGCCGGGAGCCCTGACATCTGGAAGCTTCCAGCGTTCCCACACCCTCCTCGCCGCCCTCCTGCAAGGCAGCTGATGTATTTCAAACAGGAAGCTCCTTGCAGATAACACTGCAGCCTCCAGCCTGATTTGCTGGGCAGCCTGACAGCCCAGGCCCCGCTCGCCCGGCCCGTGGGGCTCAGCGGCCTCTGTAAATAGCAGCCATGAGGCTCCCGGGCGCACTGTCCTCGTGGGTCCCCGCCGGTCAGGACGCCCCCTTCGCGTAGCGTGCGCTGCAGGTAGGGACGCTCTGCCCGGTGACCTGGCGGCCTTGGAGGGTGGGGTGGGGGCCGGCCGGTCAAGGCGGCCAGAGATGGGAGAACAGAGGGGAATGAATCTGTTCTTAGGTCCCCACGAAGGATGGGGGTGTCACATGAATCAGGCACTAGAGTCCCACGGTTTTGTCAGTTCAGCAGCTCCTGGGAAACTTCCCGGGGACGGCCGACGAAGACCTGGGCGTCGGCTACCAGTCGGGGGAGGCCTTCTCAGCTCCGCACCCGTTCAGAGAGGCGGGCAAGGGACTTTCAGAATCCCCAGTCGCAATGTAAACGGTGCCGATGGCACCGGCTGCTGGCTCTTGAACAGCCAGCCAGGGCAGGGTTCCGATCCGGAGTCCCCCCCGCCAGTGGCCCCCACGGACAACAGCAGTACCTACTCATGGCCGGGAGCTCTGTTCTGGGCTCAGTAATGGGAATCCCAGATGTGGGCAAAGATAGGCCTGGCGAAGATCGCTTTCGGGCGCAGAGAAGGTCACCTGGTAGGGACTGGGGGCACCTTGTCTCCCAAACTGGACATCGTGTGACGGGGGCCCTTCCTGGCCAGCTGGCTGTGACAACTTGGAGGCCAAAGTTAGGGGGTACTTAGGAGCTTGAACGGCAAACCTGGAAAGCTGCCGTATGTGCATGGACTTCGGATGTGTGGGAGACACCTTCCTGGGGGGCAGAGCTGCGCCCCACCTTCTCCCAGCTACTCCGGTTCATCCACAAGCGTGAAGGCTGTGAGTGAGGGGGTAGAGGTCGGAGAGCACAACAGGGAAGACCCCCTACTTTGTGTGTGCCTCTCGGGGCGAGCCCTGGGGAACGCCCTTCATCACCGCCACCGTGCCGTCACCGTAGGAAGCAAACCCCCCGTGGGGTTGGGGGCCCTGGTGCTTCTGAATGTGGATCTCCTTCTACAAATGCTGGGCCCTGCTGTGGATATTTAATGAAAATGTACCGTTGTAAGTTTGGCAGATTAAACCACATTTTTTTCATCATCTACCTCATTCTTATAAGGAATTTCTGCTAAGAATTCCAAATTGAATTCCCCTCCGAAGCCCTGGCTTCCTTCACTGAAGGGAGGCTGGGGACCTCCTGGGCTCAGCTGGGAGATAAGGATGTTATTCTTAAAGAAGGCCAGGAGTGGCTGTTGCTTCTGAGTTTACAAATGGAATTCCTCTCCTTCTTCGGGAAGAGAAGACTCTGGGGAAGGGGCTCCCAGCCAGCGCCCCCCTGCCTTCTGTCCTGAGGTCGTGTGAGCAGGCGAGGGCGTCAGGGACACTCCGGCTTCGGCTGGTTCTGGGCTCTCCCCTCACTGGGCACCTCCTTGCCTGGGAAGCAGTGACCGCGCTGCCTCGAAGCCGTGTGTGAGGCCAGCGAGTCGAGCAGGGTAGCGTGGCTGTCTCCCGGATGGAGAGGAAATTCCCATGTCAGCTTTGACCCCCGTGACGTTAAAAAAATCTAAACCCTGTTTGCCTCTACAAATATCCAAAGGCCTGAGCACAAAAGTGGGTGGAACGAATGTTTATCATGACTTTTATTTTAGAGAGAGAGAGAGCGTGCGTGTGCGCATTCATGTGCAAGTAGGGGAGGGGCAGGGGGAGTGAGAGAGAGAATCCCAAGAAGGTTCCGTGTTCAGTGCAGAGCCCGATTTGGGGCTCAATACCACAATTCTGGGATCATGACCTGAGCTGAAATCAGGAGTTGGAAACTCAACCGACTGAGCCACCCAGAAGCTTGTATTGTGACTTAAAAAAATTTTTTTAATGATTATTTATTTTTAGAGACACAACTCAAGTGGGGCAGAGGCAGAGAGAGAGGGAGACACAGAATTTGAAGCAGGCTCCAGGCTCCGAGCTGTCAGCTCAGAGCCCGATGTGGGTCTCGAACCCATGAACCGTGAGATCATGACTTGAGCCGAAGTCAGACACTTAACCGAAGGCGCCCTATTACTTTTTAAAAATTGAGATATTATTGACATTCAACATTATATTATCCAATACTGTAAAGAGCTACATGCTGGAAAGAGCCAAAGACTTTGCTTCCACAGCAGCGGCTACGCTCATCATGTGAGGAACCCGCCATAGTAACCAGGCCTGGCTGCTCCTTTGTTCAGAAACCGTTAGGAATTCCAGGGCCCTGACGGCCGAGCGAGAGACCGATTGAGAGGACTTGTCCACACGCGCCCCTGGCTCTGCACCGGCCGTGTGTCCGAGGGGCTGGCCCTGGCAGTCACCTGTGGACACTAGCCATGAAAACCCCTCAGGGAACATGCGCGGGCAGTAGCAGGAGAAGAGTATTAAATCCTGTGTTGTGGTTGTGAACTTCTGTCCATTCGTTCGTTCATTCATTCATTCATTCATTCGTGAATTCTTCTGTTTGCTCGGCTGGGGCACTGTGGGCGCTCTGCCAGCTGCGGGCACAACGTGATGGCATCCCGACCACGTGCAGGCTCGGGGACCCATAGACCCACCAGCGAGGGGACCAGAAAGGGCAGAGCTCACCCCTGCGGGCTGGGGGCGAACGCGTATGTCTTTCTCCTCTTTTTTAAAAATTATTTTTTTTAATGTTTTTATTTATTTCTGAGAGAGAGAGAGGCAGTGTGAGCAGAGGAGGGTCAGAGAGAGAGGGAGACACAGAATCTGAAGCAGCTCCAGGCTCTGAGCTGTCAGCATAGAGCCCGACGTGGGCTTGAACCATGAACCACAAGATCATGACCTGAGCCGAAGTCGGACGCTTAACCTACTGAGCCCCCCCACCCCCCGGCGCCCCAATGTCTATCCCCTCCTTACAGCTGCTCACTGTGTGAGCTCCGCGGCGGCCAGAGCGCCAGTCTCTGGGTCCGGCTGTGGGGCGAGGCTGGCCGTCCGGCCTGCAGCGGCCTGAGCCTCGCTGCCCCTCCAGTGAGAAGCCAGGTCCTCGGGTGGTTCTGGGATTAAATAAGATCAGTGTCTGCGTTTGGTAGTAAACAGCGCTCTTCTCTCTACCAAACACAGACTAATGTGCAATAAAAGCCCACGGCGTCGTGATGTGAGGAGGCGGGTGGCCCCCTCCGGTGCTTGGTGGCTGAGGGGCACCAAGGTCAGGTGCGTCAGGAGGGCCCAGGTTCCCACCCCACCGTCCCCGCCGACGAGGGGGTAATGCGAGGCGGCTGACTTCGTCCCCCCGTCTCTGGTCCCCTGACCGGTGCCCGGGACCAGTGTCCTGACCTCTGTGGGGCTTTTACTCTCCCCCATCGAGGGCACAGTCACCCTCACCCCTGCCCTCTACGGTCAGTCCCGTGGCCCCACAGAGGGGAGCTGGGGCCTCCCCGCAGGGGTCACCAGGTCCCTTTCACGGAGAAAGTGGCGACAGCGTGGGCACGCGAAGAGGGCACAGACATCTCCGCTTGGAGACCCTGGCTTCCTCTGTCTGGAGCTGTTGCAGCCTCGTCATAACAGCAGCATCAAGCCGTCTTCCGTGAGGGCCCCTGTGGACAGCTGGCGCTCCGTGGCTCCTCCTCACGGGGGCCTCAGGGGCCCTTACCTCCCCTCTAAGGTGAGGGCGCAGGCTGGCGACGGGGCCGTGATGTGGCCGGGGCACCATCCAGGTGCTGGCCACGGCTAGGTGCGCGGCTGTCCCCAGACACGGTGCCACGTGAGCATGAACATCTGGGGGTGTGTGTCTGGGTGCTGCCCCCAGGCCCTGCCCATTGGCGCCTGGGGCAGGGCCGCACGGCCAGCTGTGGGCTCCCGCACCTTCCAGCGTCTGCTCCCCCAGGCCCCCCCCCCCGCCCCTGCCCGCCCAGGACGGATCTCAGTGGTACAGGTGACAGAATTAGATAATCAGTAAGCTGTCGCTGCGCGTGGTAACGTGGACGAGCCTGGGGCAGGAGCTGACTCAACAGCCGAGGCTCAGAGGACCATGGTCCTCACACAGCCCAAACCGAGCAAACTGGACAGCGTATGTTTAAGAACGCAGTGCGTATGCTGATGCCACTCAGGAGACGGCAGGAGACATGCTCACAGCCCGAGTGAGGCTCCTCCGGGGCGCGGGGTGGTCCTGGGCGCGGCGGCTGCAGCCGCGGTGCTGGGGGAAGTGCTGTACTTTCCAGGTGGCCGCGCCCCCGTCTCCGTGGATACCGAGTATCCCGCAGAGAAGCCGGCTTGAGAATCCGGCCAGGATGTCAGGATGGAGGCCCTGGCCGGTGGGCAGGGGAGGCCTAGGCGGGCCCACGAGGGAGGGAGCCATCGCCGGGGCAGGCCCGACCGCTACCTGCGCCCCGGCCCGGGGCCTGCACGCTCTCCCTCCCGCCCCGGCTTCTGAGCTCCTGTCACCGTGTCCGCTTCTGTCCCGCAGGAGTCAGCGTCCGCACGCCCTCGTGATGAGGAGGGATCTGGTTCTACTCGGCCTGGCCTTCCTGGGGCTGCTCCCGCCCGGCCACCCTCAGCAGACGGCGGAAGATGCCTGCTCCCTGCACATCCTCGTCCCGGGCCTCAAAGGTAACCTTGACTGGGCCTCCCGTGCGCGGCTGAGTGCCAGCTCGGGTCTCACCGCCGTGCGCCTCCGTTTCCCCATCTGCAAAATTAAGGGTTGGACTACATACTGCACACACTCCCTTTGGCCCAGAGACTCTGCAATTTGAAGCGAGCTGCCTGTTTGCACCTCGCCCTCGGGGGCTCATGTTTCTTCCACGCACACGTGACCGCAAACGACTTGCAGTGAGATGATCTCATCTGGCCCATTTTTTTTTGTTTATTTTTGAGAGAGAGATGACAGAGAGACAGAACACAAGCGGGGGAGGGGCAGAGAGAGAGGGAGACACAGAATCCGAAGCAGCTCCAGGGTCTGAGCTGTCAGCACAGAGCCCGACGCGGGGCTCGGACCCACGAACTGCGAGATCATGACCTGAGCTAAAGTCGGACGCTTAACTGACTGAGCCCCCCAGGCGCCCCATCATCTGGTCCATCCTGCAGATAAGGGCATTCAAGGCTCAGGGATGCCTAGCAATTTGCCAAACAAACCGGGTGACACTGCTTATGCCATCAGTGCTCTGACGCTGGCTCCCGAGAGCTCTCAATTCCTACTTTAAAAAACAGACAATCAAACATAACCCCCAAAACTGTTCTCTTGGTGGTCTGGGTATAATTTGCCCCCCGGTAGAGCTTGCTCCCCGAGCCGCAGAGCGGTGTGGGCCGGGCACCAGCACAGGGGAGGAATCAGGCCCTCAGACCACAAGCAACCCTGTGAGTCCCCAGCGGGCTCAGCCCCGCCGTTCGAGGGCCCCGGTGCAAGCTGGAAACGTGGGCCTCCTGTCCAAAAGTCATAAAAAGACTTCAGAACGGGGCAGGGCACATGGCCTCGAAGGGCGGGCGCGCGTGGGCCTCCAGCTCTAGGAGCGAGGGGCGAGGGCGCGGGGCCGGCCTGGGACGCCCACTGATCATCTCGCGGGCCCCAAATTCCACTGTGCTCCCTTCCCACCCGGACGGTGCGGACCCCGGGCCCCAGAGCCTGTCTTTGCCGGATGGGCCTTTTGTGGGAGCGCCTGCTGCTCTCCCCACGGAGATCGCGGGAGGAAGCAGACTTACATTTCGGGCTGTGGACCCGTGATGAGGTTGACCGCCACCAGAGACAGCCCGGCGCCTCCTGAGACCTCGTGGGCCCCCGGGAGGGCTAAGCTCCAGCTGAGGGTGGACCAGGGAGGGTCCCCGGGGAGCAGGACGATGACACGTGCCCCCAAGGGCCTGTCCTCTGGCAGGTGAGTGGGACACGCCTCCAGGTCGCGTGGAGCCGTGCCGGAGGCCTCGGGGCCACGGAGCGTGGCTTCCAGACGCCCCGGAGTCCGGGTGACCAGCCTGTCCACCCCGAAGGGACAGTTCCAGTGGGGAAACTCCTTCTCACACTCCCTGAGGTCCTTACAGTCTGGACGTCCGTTTTCACCTCCAGCTTTACTGAGGTCTAACTGGCAGGTTGTACGCGTTCAAGGTGGCGATCAGACACGGAAACCTGGTGAAGTGACATCACAGCCGCGTTCGTTAGCCCGCCTGACACCTCACACCGTCCCCATTCTGTGTGGGGGTGGGGCGAGGAGGACTGGGGGTCTCATTCTGACCCAGGAACGAGGGGTGACATGGCTGTGAGCTTGCCGATGTGACGCAGAGCCCCTTACTCACTGCCGGGCTCTTACTGCTCGGGGGTTAGCTTGGGCAGCAGGGGACGGGGGAGGAGACAATCTGTGCAAAAAAAAAGGTTTGGGGCTTCCAAGCAACACAAGTTCAGGCCGAGGCACAAGTTCAGGCCAAGGCAGACCCTGTCCCCTGCAACAGAAGACGGGCCGCAAACAGGGGCCCTTCCTCTTCTGTCGGCAGCGGCGAGGCCCCGCCGGGTCCGCCCCCCTGTGCGCCCCCGACGGGTGCCTGGGCGCTCAGCTGCCCCTGCTGCTGGACACACAGAGCGCAGCCCCGCGAGTCGGACATGTGGAGACTTCACGACGCTGCCCCCACGCAGCACCCACGGCAGCAGAGAGCGCGGAGCCGAGCGCCGCCGCACTGGCGCCTCCATCCTGGGGACGCTCAGTGGGCTCGGGGGGTGTGGGCTTCACATACACATGTGACTCGGGCCGGGTGCCGGGGGCCCGGCCTGCTGCCCGCCCCGGACTGCCACGCTCGGCCTGCACGGCCACGAGAGCCAGCGTGGCGCGTGGGGCACGTGCTGCGGACGTGAAGATGCAAGCACGATACGTGAACGTGAAAGAAGTGAAGCACGTGAACAGTCTCTTCCTTCTTCTCCAGAGCCCCGACACCCGCAGGCCAGGCCCCAGGGGACGGAGGGCCGCTGCGGGGACACGGCACGTGGGCCTCCTCGTCCACTGCTGGACCCAGGCTGGGCTTCAGGGCCGTTCTCTACCCGAGCCCTCCCGCCCCCATCCACTGACTGGGGCTGGTGCTTGGGATGCAAGGTTCCTGCCGTTCAGACCTAACAATAGCACGTTCTCTTCTCTTCGCATTTGGAGAGAGGAACAACTCACTTGAAAAAAGTTTTTTTTAATGTTTATTTGTTTTTGAGAGAGAGAGAGAGACAGAGCATGAGCAGGAGGGGCAGAGAGAGAGGGAGACAGAATCCGAAGCAGCTCCAGGCTGAGCTGTCAGCACAGAGCCCGACGCGGGGCTCGAACCCACGACTTTGAGATCATGACCTGAGCTGAAGTTGGACGCTCAACCGACTGAGCCCCCAAAGTGCCCTGAACTGTGCGTCAGTTTTGAGGCGGGAGGTTTACAGCCACACCACCTCCTGGGACCAGCGGACAGCAGACCCTTCAGACCCTGCCGACTGTGACCAGTGTCTAAAAGCAGCTTTGTCCTTGAGAAGCACGTCTAGGGTTCGGCTCCAAGGAGGAGGCCAAGGGCACCAGGAGATAGTCCTGCCGCCAGCAGTTTCCGTGGCCCCTGGTGCTGCTGCTCCGAGTTTGAGTGAGAGCAGCAAGGGGCAGGCCGCGGGCTCTCAACACCCACGCGGTGTTCTCTGGGACACGGTGCGTTTTGTCGTTCCGTCCCCGGAGCCGGGAGTTCACGCGGTGCAGGTGGTGGGGACGGCCTGGGACTCCGGGCCCTGGATGCCCCCGCCACAGGCCACAGGGCGCCTGCCACCTGTACTGACCGAAACACGAAGGCTGATACGGTCAGTCGTCAAGGAAGCAGAACCTCGGGGAGCATGACGTTTGAGGGATTTTCTAACAATCGAGGGAGACCAAGAAAACCCATGTTGGTCACACTCTTAGAAAGTCATGTTTTTAATGATACATATTCTTCTTTCCTGCTTAGTAAGATGGGCTTGTGGGACAAGGGTAACGTTCGGTGCTACTCGGGGTGTCTCACTGCCTCAGGTACTTGCCACGCACACTGGTCCCACCAGGCTAGATGCAGGTGCGTGGGAGCAGGTGGGGAGCGGGCAGACGTTACGTCTTCAAGGAGTTGCAGTCCCGTGGGGAGATGGCACGTGGCAGCAGATCGGTGCAGCACAGGCAGCGACAGGCGCCCGCCCGCCCGGACCGGAGCGGAGTAGCACCCTTGCTGTTTTCCCCTGACCGCCTGGGGTGGCCGTGTTCTGTCCCTGGCGCTTCCTGTGGCCCCCGAGCCTGAGGTCTGAGTGCTGGCTTCTCCCTGCCCTCGGAGACCCTGGGGACCCGTCTCTCCTTGTCTCTCGGCCCCTGGCTGGGCAGGTGCTGTCCCCCATCTCAGAGACCCCTTCCCTATTCTTTGCCTGGCAACAGCACGTCTCAGTTAGAAGCCACTTCATCAGAGGGGCCTCATCTGATCTCTCAACCTAAATCATGGCTTTTACGGGTTGAAATTGTGGCCTCATTTTATCTGACTTTATCTCGCATCCCGCGTTGCTGATAATTCTGATGTCAACCCGACTCTCATTCACGCAGGAAGTCTTGACAAATCCGTGTTCCTCCTGGGTAGCGGATGCAGTTTTCTCTTCTTTCTCGATGTTCCACGTGTCACTCTGACACATCTAGGTTCTTTCCGCTCAACTTGCCTGCGCGGCTCTCCGTGGCGCCTGCCTCCTGCCTCTGCGCACCTTTCACGCCTTCCTCTGGCGCCGGGGGTCACACTGTTACATCTGCACACTCTCACAGCTCCCGAGTCTGTTCCCCCTGTTCCGGAATTCCTTTAAGGGGGACCATGGAACCCGTGGGGTTTTTCTTCCCTCACCTTGGTAACTTTGATCCCAAACAAAGCTTTCCAGTCCCTCATCTCTTCGTGATGCATTGTGAGAAAAAAATCTTCAGCCGCGTCTTCTGTTTCACCAACTAGCTTGTATCATGGGCCATTCTGCTACTCAGCCTTTCTGCAGCACGATTCCTTTCAAAAATTAGTTTCATGTACAAGGTCTAGTTGATTCTTTTCCAGTGCTTTTTACTTTGGTTCATAGGTACCTATTCTCTCTTTTCTTTCTTTTTAATTTAAAAAAATATTTATTTTTGAGAGAAAGAGAGAATGTGTGCATGTGTGAGCAGGGGAGGGGCAGAGAGAGGGGAAGACACAGAATCTGAAGCAGCTCCAGGCTCTGAGCTGTCAGCACAGGGCCCGACGCGGGGCTCGAACCCATGAACCGTGAGATCATGACCTGAGCCGAAGTCGGACGCTTAACCAACTAAGCCCTGCAGGTGCCCCGTGTCTTATCTTTATGAAGCTATTCAGTGTCTGATTTGAGAGCCAGACTCTGACTGCCCCAGGGGTTCGAAGCTGTGAGATCATGACCTGAGCTGACGTCGGACACTTAACCGACTGAGCCACCCAGGAGCCCCTGTTATTTTTCTTTTCTGACGTAGGTGCTCCTCAAATGTCTGCAGGTGCTGGTGGCCAGCTCATTCTGTTCGTTGCTATTTCCTGCTGGTCTCTCAATGTATCTGCACGTATTGCTATTGTAATAATTTCCTTTCTGAAGAAGACAAACCACGCAGAGATTGGAGGGCCACGTGTGCGCGCTGAGCGTGTAAGAGCATGGATGGAGCCTTCTGGCTGTGGCGCGAAGGTGGCAGTGAAGTGCAGGCCCTGTCTTCTAGTTTTTATTGGCATTCACTTTGCTTTGCTCTTTGTTTACTTAAAATTAAATGTTTTTTTTGTTTATTTATGTATTTATTTTGAGAGAGAGAGAGTGCATAAGCAAGCGAGGGAGGGGCAGAGAGGGAGGGAGAGCACAATGTGAGGCTCGAACCCACGAACCGTGAGATCACGACCTGAGCCAAAATCGAGAGTCAGAGGCTCCTTACTTGTGCCTCCACGTCCTGTGCCCGCCTGTCCTGTGCGGGCAGCCTGACGGCGTCACCAGGGCCGGCCCGACGGGGATAGAACTCGGACAGGACAGGGGGTGGCTAGTTAGACCTCACAGAGCCAGGCAGGGGTTGTGCTTAGCTGAAGAGGGAGAAAGAAAAGCAGAGGTGACGGCTGGCCCCGGGCTTGCCAGCTGGGGGTGTTAGCACGGCCGCTGGAGCTAGGAAAGTCCCAGGACGGGTTCATCTCTGGGGAAAAACTGTCACGTTGATTTGGGGTGCGCTGGGGGGGTCTCAGGAGACTTAACAGCCCGTCTCCCTGTTTCAGTTCTGAATGAGGTCAGCAAAGGTCGGCCGGTGGCTGCCGCAGAAGCATGCGCGGGACCCATGATGGGGGGGGCGCATAGGGTGAGCAGAGAGAGGCCACACCTGGCTAACGAATCTGAATCAGGTGGATGTGCCCACCTGGTCACGGGTGCCCAGCCCCCGAGCAGGAGGTGTGCTGGGGTGGGGGGCTCGTGCTGAAGGGGCCAGGCAGTGCTGATATGGGCACCCGAGTATTCTCCGCGGGTGCATCGGCCAGATGCGGGGTGGGGGGGTGGGCAGAAGGACACCTGGCCATGGGGAGCCTGGAAACCCCTGGGCTCCTCAAGGTGCCGTGGGGCGGAGGGGCAGCCGGGCAGTCAGAGGGGTCTCAGGGAGGGCTGTGTGCCAGAGGGCGAGCGAGCCCAGAGGCACGATTGGAGAGAGGGGCACAGCATCCCTAAGAGAAAGGAGGGCCGGGAAGCAGAGCCCACACGCAGATTGGCGGCAGGGCAGCCTGAGACCTGGGGCCGGGGGGCTGGCAAGCGGGCGGGAGGTGGAGTCCCCTGGGAGCTGGGCGGGGCGGGGGGCCCTGGCACAGACAGGGTGAGAGGCCATCTCTCGTGACTCCTCTGCACCTCACGCTGCACTCTGTGCGCAGGATGAGGCCCTAAACGCGGTGACTTCTTCCACAGGGGATGCCGGAGAGAAGGGAGACAAAGGTGCGCCAGGACGCCCCGGAAGAGTCGGCCCCACGGGAGAGAAAGGTACCCCCCGCCCCCGCCCCCGCCGAGGTCTGGCCCTCCTCAGCCCCTCAGAGATCAGCCCAAGAGGGCACAGCTAGTGCTCGGCTCCTGTGGGAGCCACGGGGTGGGGGTGGGGCGCGGGGGTGCGAGGGGAATTTGACACCTGTGGGGCGAACCAGGATGCAGACAGTGCTCCTCAGCACATAACAGGGTGGTTACGCTAGCGGAAACTCCGTCCTGCTCAGCCCCTCACCAGCCTCATCTGCAAACTGGAGATCATTTGTGAGCATGACACATATAAGTGCCAGTGTGAGGCTGTGCAGCAATTACAGAGAAGCACAAGCAGTGATGGAGGTGTGCAGGCAGATAAGGTGTGCAAGCAGTGATGGAGGAGTGCAGGCAGATAAGGAGGTGTGTAAGCAGTGATGGAGGTGTGCAAGCAGTGATGTAGATGTGTAAGTGGTAATGGAGATGTGCAAGCAGTGATGGAAGTGTGCAGTGATGGAGATGTGTAAACAGTGATAGCAGTGTGTAAGCAGTGATGGAGATGTGTAAACAGTGATAGAACTGTGTAAGCAGTGATGGAGATACGCAAGCAGTTGTAGAGGTGTGTAGGCAGATAAGGAGGTGTGCAATCAGTGATGGAAGTGTGTAAACAGTGATGGAAATGTGTAACCAGTGATGGAGATGTGCAAGCAGTGATGGAGGCGTGCAAGCCGTGATGGAAGTATGTAAGCAGTGATGCGGGTGTGAGTAGTGGTGGAGGTGTGCAAAGTACCAAAGGGACAGACTTGGGTGGGGTGTGTGGGGTTGCACAGCGATTCCCCCTCCTGTGGCTAAAAGACCCTAATGGCTGAATCTGCTTCCTTCTTAGAAGAGTAATTCTACGCAGCCCCTGGGGTGTGCTGAGTCGTCCAGGAAATAGATGGACGGGCAAAGTGGCCACCCGTACTCGGGGCAGAGGTGCTTGGGCAGCAGATACCCACTGTGCTCTGGGAACTACACCGCCCTCCGTCTAGCTGGCCCCCCAGCCAATCCTGTAACACTGGAGAGCTCAGCTGTCCCCCGTTTTCAAAGTTATTATAACAATGCAAATGAAGGCCATTGAGTATATGCAATTAAACCCTGGATTGCGAGTAACTTATTGAGCGAGTGTTCCGCAAGACGAGCAGACATTTCTCATAAAATTTAACCTGATAAACGAGTGATGTCTTACAATACGAGTAGCACGTGACGCCGAACATCACATGAGCACAACTGAGCCGATGGTTCTTGAAATTCGCTTTGATATACGAGTGGCGTTTTGGATTACGAGTGTGTTTCTAGAACAAATTATGCTCACAAACCAAAGTTTTAGTGTATATGCAAGCCTCTGCACTACTTTTTCATTTTTTTGAGGTGTGATTTACGGACATTCTCCTTTTGGTGCACAAGTCCTGAGTCTGACAGCCGCACACACCTGGGAAGCCCCTGGTCACATGCAAGCCCCAGAGCATTTGCGTCACCATCCCTCCATCATCCCTGATGATTTTTATTTCTTATTTTCTCCTTTACTCATGACAAATTAGTGGAAAAAATAAATAAATGAACTATTCTCATAGGTCAAAGTTCAAAGCATGTAGAAACTACTCGCAGTGAGCACTCTCCTTCCACGCTCCACGCTCCCGGGCACCCACGCCACCACCGGCTTGATTTCTCTTCACAGACAAAGTCTGTGACTCGGCAAACACGTGTATGCTCTATTCCTCGTTCCTTTCGTGCAGGAGGTTACCCCGTATACGTATTGCTCTGCATTGGCCTCTAGCACTTAACACTATGTCCTGGAGACCATTCTGTGTGAGCACGGAAGTGTTTCCCGCCTCCCCTCATGCGATGACGTGGGATTCCGTGTGTGGACTCTTCCCGCTTCAGCTGGGCTCCTTTCCTGGAGCGGGCTTTGCTGCAGAGAACGGTCCCGTACGTGTCCTTTTAAAGTGTATGAGTACAGCCTGAAGGTGGATTCCTAACAGGGTGACTGCTGGATCCGAGTGCTCAAGCATTTGACACTTTGGTCGATCCTGCCCTCCCAAAGGATTGATGTGATGCGCTCTCTCTCAGTCATCACAAAGAACGTCACCCAGAGCCCTCGCTGATGTGGGGAAGCTGCCAGTCTGACAGTAGGAAAATGCCACCTTCGTAGGCTTTACTTTGCTTCTCTTATGATGAACGAAGTAGAGTCATTTTTTGCGTATTTAAAAGTCACTTGTATTTCTTTTCTGTCTTTTGGTTCTTCTATTTTATTTGTCTTTTTCTGCCTTAAAAAACACTTTTGGGTCCTTTTTCTCCTTGATATGTAAGATACTTTTTACTTGTATTTTCTGTGCCTACCTCTGAATAATTCCTTAGAATACATTTCCTTAGAATACTGTACAAAGGCCATCCGTGCCTACCTCCTTACGCTGCTCTATGCACTTCCTGCTCGAAATGAACAATCTTCCCCTGTTTTCTGGAGCCCCCCATCCATGTGCCGAGCAAATGCAGGAGTGAGGGAGGCAGGAGCCCCTCTCCTAGGGCCCCTGCAGGATGCCAGCCCCGCTGACCGAGAGGAGAGCTGACCCCGGGGGCCGGCGGGGCGGACTCTCTGGTCATCAGCTTGCTTGTTCCCGGGTGTCTGTGTTCCCATCTGCGAAGGGAGCTGAGGATGGAAACGCTTCACAAAGTGCTTGTGTTGTGATAACAGTATCTGAGAACTACAGAGCTTGCTGTTTTTACTTTATTACTATACTTCCTAAGAAAGTGGAAAGTGCTGCAGATGTCTGTCTTATCACTGAGCTGATTATGAAATGTACACAATGATAAGAGAATGTTCCTCCACTTCTTTGTGTGGACGATTCTGTATCTCGCGGCTGGGAAGTCGGTGAGCTCCCTTCTTCTAGATGCTCACAAATTCATCTCACGATCCTATTTCATTGATGATTTTTCAAAGTCATGAGTGTTTGAGCTCAACATGCAAGTGGCGGTGAAGTCCTACCTTCATTAAATAACTGCCTTGTTTCAAATTTCTCCAATGCACGGCGGTAACAGATGCTCATGACAGAAAGTTTCTGGGAACCTGAAGTGAGAAAGTCATCCATCACAAAGTCAGCCAGAGACTGCCACTTATTTCAATATATTTCCTTTCTTTGTGCCTTTTTTTGCTTTGTTGTGATTGTATTGTTCACATAAATTTGCATCCATTTTATTTTATTTTTTATTATATTATATTATATTATTATATTTTATTTTATTTATCTTGAGAGAGAGAGAGTGAGTGGGACCAGGGCAGAGAGAGAGAGAGAGAGAGAGCACTATGGAGGAGCTGAGAGAGAGGGAGAGAGAGAATCCAAGCAGGTTCCGCACCTTCAGCACAGAGCCCGATGCGGGGCTCAGACTCACAAACTGCAAGATCATGACCCAGGTTGAAGTTGGACACTTCACCGACTGAGCCACCCAGGTGCCCCTGCATCCTATTTGTTAAATTTAATTTCAGTGTCACCATTTTTCATGCTGGGAAAGTCATTTAAATGGATGCCCAATACCCATGGGTAATTTAACATTCCACCCTGGGTGTTGCAGTGTGGAGTCGTCTGTGGGGTTAGGGCGGGAGAGGGAGCCTGGAGCCAGCCGTTGACGGTTCTGTGTCAGCAGCACCGGGTGAACCACCATGACTCCCTTCTGACACGCCAGTCCCCGAGTCGGTGGGCGTTGGGTTCATCAGGGGTGAAACGAGCAGCTCTGGTTGGGGTCTTTGCTAAATGCAGAGTACAGAGAACGTATCAACCCGGCAGCTGTACTCGGATCACTGAGTGGTGGAAGTAGTTCCTCGGAAATGTGGGAAACCTCCTTTCTCTGGCAATCTTGAGGAAGAGCATTGGCCAAGGCGTGATACATGTAAGAGCCTGAGACAGACACATCCAAGAACAGACACATGACTGATGAAAATATTTACTAAACAGACAGAGAAAGGATGGTAAAGAAATTAACCAAAATATTGGCAGTAGGTATTTCTGCGTTACGGGATTATAGACATTCACATTTTCCTTTTTGGCCCTTCCTGTATTTTTGGTATTCTGGACAAAGGCCGTTAGCTGATTGTTGACGTTGGCGTGTTCTATGGAGGTGGCTGGGGCGACAGCAGGTGTCCCTGGGGGTGCGGCTCTGTAGCCTGGCTTCCTACAGACCCCCCGCGTGCTGACGATGTGCTCATGGTCTGCGCTGGGCGTGGAGAGAGCTGTGGGCGACCTCAAGGTGCCAGGCCTGGCTGCCCCCAAGCAAAGCTCCCGGGAAGGACAGGCTCGGCTCCTGGGGCCTCACAGAGTCTCCCCCTGCCCCGGGGGCCTCTGTGCAGCACAGCTGGGAGCCGCTTGGGGCCTCAGGGTCTTCCGCCCCCTTTCCCACCCTCCCTTCCTGTCCAGGAGGGTTTGAGTGGATCACAGCCACCGCTCAAAGGCGCTGTTCCTGGTGTTCAGTCTCTGACACCTGTTGCTTCCAGAAGTCTCTTCCCTCCACCGGAGATGCGTGTGGACAGCAGTGAGCTTTACAGGAATGGGGGGTCCGGGATGTGCCTGCTATTAGCATTCGAGGCATCCCCCGGCGTGGGGAAATGGACCGTCGACTTTTTTCATTTTTCAGGAATTATTTTTCACCAGAATCATTTTTTCCCATGTACATATTACTGGTCTCCTTGAGAAGTTTAAGAAGTTTATTATTTTTAAAATCTGTATCACATTTTCCTGATGACTGATTCTGCCGTTCCGAGCATTCACCCAATTGCCCTGATGCTGGCTTCCTCAGCTGTGATCTGGCTGTCCCAGCCGGGCGCTGGCCGGGCCTCGGGGGAGGGGTCCTCCGCCCTTCTTGGGGTGCTCCCGCTGGCCCTCAGTGTCATCCGTCTGCCTCACAGTGGCTGCTGAGGGTCCCCAGAGCCTCTCGCTGGCATCTTGTCCACCTGCTGCAAAGAGGTGCATAGGCAGAGTCTTGCCCTCAACTTCTTCCAACCCACT